AATGGATGTTCCAATATATGTAATTTTTGTTGACAATTGAATTATAGATCCTCCTATGTTTGATGGTTAAATGTCTTTTCATATTATTTATGTCTGTCGGATTAATTTTAATTGTTTTAACTTTACCACAAATGTCGCATACCGATCTATTTATACTATCATCTTTAATTGTATAATAATCCCAAATGTAAAAAATGTTTCTTCTTCCTCTTCTTTGTATTTGTTCATCTTCTGTCGACATGATATCCGCTATGTATCACAATTCGTGTATTACTAAATACAAAATGAGAATTTAAAGAAAAGTACGAAGAATATAAAAACTGATGAGAGAGAAGAAAGAAGGAAAGATCGCGTAAAGACATATGATATGATTGTATACATACAAATGTTGCTAGACTATCTAAATCTGCCTAACATGCCTAGTTTGTGTGTATATTGATTTAATAATGTTATTATACAATAATATTAATACAATAATATTAATTATACAATATTATACAATAATTAATATTAAATTTGTGATTCAATACTCTTAATTTAATAATAAATTCTCAATTTAATAATTTTTCTATAATCATTTCTGTATCATTAATAAATATCAATGAATAAATATTATTATTTTGCTAGAATTTTTAATTAAAATATTTGTAACAATTCAAGCCTTTAATTATTATTCGGATTAAAAAATTTTTACTCGATTTCTTATATGTACATTTCTATATTTTTTCAATTTTAGAAATTATTGAGAGGGGGGAGTTACATTCGAATTATAATTAAATGACATTTTTGAATTGTATCTAGATAAAGCATTAGCTAAACGAACTTGGTTCCAATATTTACAACATTTGTGCTAACGCGACATGTCTGTCTTTTGAATAATATTTGTGAGGCAAATAACAGTTAAATTTTATATGGATTTATATACACAAGAAGATGGAAAAGCCTTAACCCATTAATTTATGCATGTATTGTAATATGTTGCTTTCCCTATACATATTGATATCTTAATTTATGTGTTAAGTCATTTTTATCTACGGGGTGCATTTTTATATATGTATGTACATGAGAGAAATATATATATCAAAAAGCAATTCAAAGAAATAAATTACTAATATTTTTATAAAATTTACTATTGCCTTTCCTATTATTTTATCGCTATTGATTTGATTTGAATTAAAAAGTGCATCGACACAAGAGTACATCAATCAAATGCTTTATTTCTTTATTATGTTGAAAGAATTATTTCTTTGGAGGATGTTTTAACGTAAATTTTACATGTGTATTATTGTGTATATTTACTTTTTATAATATCAATTTACCCATATCAAAAATTTGTTGCAATATCTTTATCATGTTCGTATTTATTGGTTAAATGAAAAATATTAGCAAGTTTAATATGATTCTTTAAAACAGTTCATTCATTCACGTATAAAAGTTTAGTCTTAAATGTCTCTCTCTCTCTCTCTCCCCCCCCTCTCTCCTCTCTCTCCCCCCTCTCTCTCCTGTAATAAAAAGACTTTTTAAAATGTTGATACTTCGTGTTTACATAAAAGAAGTAGCTGCTGTAGTTTATAACATTTTATGACAGATCTTATGGAAAGAGTGCGAATATCGCAAATATTGAATTATAAATTTTTTTCATTATATTATAAAATTTAAACTGGAAATTAGTCAATAATCTTATTTCATAAAATAGATAGATACTTTTTTAAATTGTTAAATAATTAACTTTTTTAAATTGTTAAATAATTAAAGAAACATTCTTACAAAATAAGGAACTTAATTGTATATCTGTGTATTACTTTATGATATATAAAAATAACAATTTATTTTTAAATAAAAATTATATATAAAGCAAATATTATATAGATTTTTAAATATATAATTAAAATTATTAATTATTAATAAAATACTAATTTTTGAGAATTATTTAAATAAGTAAAATTAATGTTTTCAACAAGTCTGTTTTTCTTAAATATATATATATATATATATATATATATATATATATATAATTATAAATTATCCATATAATGACTAACAAAAAATATTTATGATGATATGCTGTAGTAAACTTTTATTTTCATGTAAAGATTTCACTTCTTGTTATTTTAATATCGCTAATTTCTCGATTTTTTTCATTCAAATAAAACAGCTGAATTTTCAGATAATTACAGGTGGTCGGTTTTTTTACGAACAGTTTCACAATAGCTTCGTAAAATAGAAGTACAGCAATAACGAGGACAAGTATTTACGAATGATTTCATGGTAGCTCTACACAAGGAGGATACTCACGAATAACGAGGACAAGTATTTATTCTGGAGTATATTGAAACAAAAGATCTCATACCACATTCTTTATTCTCGCAGTTTCTTTAGATACTTGCTCTGGGGACTTGCTGTCGCAATAACGTTAACATAGGATTCATCAATTTGTAAAATTTGCTCGAAATGGAGTTAACGTACAATGGGAATAGAAAGTTAGTCTCTTGTAAATTTTAATATGTATGGAAATAAAAATATTCAGGCTTAGATAGAATTAAAAAATTGCATCATGTATAAACAAAATTAGTAAAGCACAAATATTTAATTAAAGACAGATATTTAATTTCCATAAATGTTGAAAAAATCATTTTAATTTATCTGTTATATTCCAATTTTGAAAAATATGAATTCATATATAATTAAATTTCATAAACTTACAATTATCGTATTATTATTCTATACTAATTCAATAGAAATCAATTATACATACATAAGTGTGTATATATATATATATATATATATATATATATATAAATTAGAAAATATTTACACATTTTTAAATAAATAATAATAATGATTCTATAATTCCATTTTATTATATGATTCTATAACTCTATTATAGCGTACAGCTACGAATATGTTCATTATTCCGATTGTCACAAATTATTTACAAAGAAGAATATATTGCTATATAATATTGCTCGTCCATTATATCACGTGCATTCTAATGTGTTTTATAATTATATAATATTTGTTGAGGTTTTGAATAAGAGAATCTCTTTGACATGGAAGAAAGCACGATAATCGCAGCACTTAAATGATTTTATTTCTTGTGAGGACTTCAGTTCACAATCAGTCAAACTTCAAACGCAATAATCTATAACTTGTTTTCTCCACTGAAACGACTTGCTAAGCTAGCGTTGGAGTTTTTATTCAATAATATGACATGGGGTTTGCAAGTATCCGGAACTACATTGGCAGCTCATGCATGGAGTGTTTGTATTATTTTACTTTCAGATATTGATTTCAGATTGAATCTATTTTCATACGAGAAATATATATTTATGAATATTATATTATATATCAGATTGTGATGAAAGTTATATTATTAGATTTATAACATAGAGCTGCAAAATAGAATTTTATTTCGTATCAATATAAAATAGTAAATATTAATTGGTTTTGTTTTATGTACTAAAATCGTATTGATTAAATGTTTGCTATATGCTCTTTTGTGATGTTTTATTTTTTTATGTATCTCGTATGTTTAAATCGAAAAATTTGTAATATCGCGCTATATGTCTCATATATATATATATATATATATATATATATATTTAATATGTATATATATATATAATATGTATATATATATATATTTAATATATATGTTGTATATTGTGCGTGTGTATATATATATATAGAACATACATATTAAAATATACACATAAAATATACATATTAAGAATTCACGAAGCAATTAATTACATTAAAATATTAAATAAAATTGTCGAGAGAAAAACAATGATAAAATTATAAATATGAAAATATGTAAAGTCTAAAATCATATAAAAGATGGTTATTCTTTAATAAGCAATTGAAACAGTTTTAATGAATAGATAAGTTTTTACATTTTTTTACATTTCTTTGATCTGCTAAAAGAATAAATAAAAGAATAAATTTGATAACTAGAATAACAAAATAAATAAAAAGAATGATATAAAATTAAATGTATCCTAAAAACATAAGAAAACAAAAATATAATATAAGCTTATATATTATTTGTCAATAAAAAAATAATTTTCTTTTAATAATTTTTCAAGATTTTTAATTTAATTTTTCAAGATTTTTAATTTATTAAAAAAATGCATGTGAATGATTAAAGGATAGCGTACGTTTTAAAGTAGTAAAATATTGACAAGAAGTTTGATGGCTCTCAAATCAAAAATCTTTGTTATAAATTATGAAAAAGGAAACCGTCATGCGCAATTTCAGACTATGTGAGGTTCTGATCGACTGCTTGAATGATTTAAAAACGGGCTCACCCTCTTTAAGCGTACCCTGTCGCTTTTTGCCCACCGGCGATGAGACTGGCGCGGGGGTTGAATGTGGTTCCATTCATGCTTATTTCAAGCTCATTGTGCGCCTGGTGTATTCAGCCTTTGACTCGTTTCTCGTGTTACTGCTACAGCGACGCTCCGGAGAGTATAGGACCGTATATGTCGCTCTGTGTAGAGAATCAGGAAATACCGGTGTCACATTTTCTTCGATGGTAACAACAAACATGCAGCCACGACGAAGGAATAGGAACATTGTGATTCATCGAACTATCGAACTTCTCTTTATGTATAAAACGTATGAATTTACACGTGTGAATAGAAATAGCTATATCGAGCATAAATGGAATTATTCTCCCTACTTTCTTCTTGATCTGTATAATTACGTAAATGCTTGATACTTTATTTGGATGTATATCGTTAGCCTAGATTTAGTCTTGCTATTACAATGAATTATGTAGAAAAATTTAAAAGTTACTATATCTTATGCGAGCGTTATTTGTTTCTATAAAAGCTGCGGTATTTGTTTGATTTTATTAATGACAATAATTGATGAAACAATTTTTCTGTTGTAATGGATTTTTCGTTCATTTTCTATGTCGGTACTCATACATCCAATATTCTATTTTTCACGTTTCACAATTAATGATAAAAATTCTTCATTGTTTATATTCTTAGGAAACTGAAGAGACAACGGGAGCGTCTATGTCGGTACGTGTACAACCAGATTTTGACAGCAGAATGTACCCAGTTAAATAGAACATGGCCTGACCCGGATGACCCGCGCTGGAACAGCGGTGAATATGCGGAACTTCTACCCGACTGGTTCCCGACAAACGCAACGAATGCCTCGGCATTTGGAAATGCAACGACTTCGTCGACGTTGGGTAATGTAATTGAGATTAAGTTACATCATGCGACTTGCGCAGGATGTATCCTCATAAGCTATGTAGAAAGGATTCACAGCAAACATTTTCTTTTACGAAAGCACGACCTTTTTTCCATGTTAAAATTTTTATGCAAATGCGCGCGTTAATATCATTTTGTCATAGACATATTATATTAATATGCACATTATATAATAAACGCATTGATTAACAATTTACATGTTGCTCTCTGATAAAGCTTTACATCTGTTAAACAGATGAATCTCTGACGCCCGTTTTGCCACCATTCACGCTCTGGCAAACAGTTCTGATTGCTATCTGTCTGGCAATATGCATACTGCTAACTATTGGTGGCAATATCCTCGTTCTTCTGGCATTCATCGTAGATAGAGCTATCAGGCAACCGAGTAATTATTTCATCGCATCACTAGCTGCCACTGATATGCTTATCGGTAAGTTTTGCGGTACTTTCGTATTTCATTTTCCTCTCCCCTTAGTAAACGTTGCGCCGTTTTATAAAAACGATATCGTATCTGAATTCGAATGTATCCTGAGATATCTAAATTACATGTTATATCAAGTTGTATCAAGAGTGAATATTGTAAATGTTTTGAAAAAAGAAAATAATAAAGATATATGCATTATTTTTACACATGCATAGATATGCGCATATATTTTTTTTTGGAATATCAATAATTAATTTTTTAAAAAGATGGTTTCCAAAGATTGTGTGAAACTTAATATTATTAATAAATCCGTATGAGATCCATATAAAATCCAGTATAATTTCTCTTACATCTAATATGACTTTCGCGGAAATTGTGTTGTAGCATCGCTTATTATGAAAAATAATTAATGTTGTTGAAAATATGTATTTTTATATCAAAATTTTTTCTGATTTCGTTCTGATTTGCGATACTAAATGTAATTGCTATTTACATGCAAATGGGCTCGCTACGTTCCAATTTAAATTCTTTGAAATTTAATGCGATGCTCTGGCAACGCGATCATTTGATTGGATTTCTAATGCAAATCCGTCAATTATGCGCGAACGCCCATATATTCATCATCCTGAGAATCATAGAGATGTAATTTCGTTATCGTGAAACCTCTGTTCGGTTGTACAATATACGTAATCAGATACACACAGCAACAGGAACTAACTATAGGTAACGACGTAATTGTTGTACAGGCACCGTGTCGATGCCATTCTACACAGTCTACGTGCTGATGGGATATTGGAATCTGGGACCTCTTCTCTGCGATCTATGGCTGTCAGTGGATTATACGGTATGTTTGGTGTCTCAGTACACCGTTCTGCTAATCACGATCGATCGATTCTGCTCGGTAAAGATAGCTGCACAGTACCGTAGCTGGCGAACAAAGCAGCGCGTAATTTGGATGGTAACCATCACCTGGATCATACCGGCCTTACTATTTTTCATTAGCATCTTCGGCTGGGAGCATTTTATCGGTTTCAGAGATTTAAACCCGGGCCAATGCGCTGTACAGTTCCTTAAGGATCCGGTGTTCAACACCGCACTAATAATCGGATATTATTGGACAACATTAATCGTCCTGTTCATTCTTTATGGCGGCATATACAAGACCGCTTACGACATGCAGAAGAAGAGCGAGGCTAAGCAGCGCAAGATGCAATCAATGGTCGCGTTGAGTGCCGGTGCAATGTCCGGTATGGCCGGTCGTGCTGCTGGTATAGGTATTTCCAAGACTCAGAGCACCTTGTTGAGCCAAGACAAGCCGAAAATCGGTGTCACATTAGTGGATGATGGTGCTGTCGCTACGGATGCAACGGCTACGCAGAAAACGGTCACGAAGACTACCGACGCCGTCGGATGTGCACCAGATGTTGCAAATAAAAATATCACTGCGAACATCGTAGTGACGGAAACCGAGAAATCCGAACGCTCCAGCAGCCCCGTGTTTGATTCTGATGAGGAGAGCACCGCAGGCACTGCTCAGCAGCTCAACACTATCAAAAAACGATCCTCGTTGGCAGGTTTGGTAGCCCAATCCGGCGCTCTTCAGGTTTTCGCCGCCAACGGACGCTTAAACGGTATTATGCCGGTCAAGGTTGAGCTAAGTGTGCCAACGACGAGGAGATTGTTGCCGACGAGTCCTACACGTGACGTGGCGACACAGAAAGCTCAAACACTGCCCAAGATACAGGAGCTCAATCTCCTGGATACCGACAATCCCGCTGAGCCTGACAAATCCAGCAGTTGTACGCTGACGCCTGAGCAATCCTTAAAATCGAACGATGCCGACGGTAATCAACAATCGATTCCCTCAGTCGAGGCGACGCCGCCCGCTCAACTTAAACGTGCGTCGATCAATAGCGTTCAGCAAAACATCATACCGCCGCCTACGCAGTTTCAGAGCAGCCCGCCCGTGTCGGATAGCCCGACGACGTCCTCGTCAACCGACAGACCCAAGTCGTTGATCGTAAGATCCCACGGTCAAGGTACATATGATATCCTCACCGGTCTTGACGGTGGCGATTTGCGATACATGGATGAGAGTTCTATCATTCTGCCCAGTCCCTCTTACGAGAGTCCACCGTCTTCCTTCTCTTGCAGTTTGGCAAATCCGCTGTCGACGGCACCTCCGTCGCCCATTTTGGGTAGCGCTATGACAGCCGGTGCAAGCACTAGTTTATTGCAAACCGCTCTTATCAGAGCGACAGCACAACAAGCTGGTACCGGTCAACTAGTACAGATTGTGCAAAGTAAACAGCATCATCAACCAACGATGTCGAATGCATCGAGTCAAACGCATCCGCCGCGCGTGTTCATCACACATCAAACCAATGTCGCGTCGCAGACGTCGCCTACTGTCAGCAAAGTACACACGGAGGTCTCTGTCAATGCCGACAAAACGAAGCGTCAACCTGTTACAACAGTAGTCACAACTGCCGTGACTGTGCCGTTAGATTTGTCCAATAGTCCGACGGATCGATTCTCGGATCAGCCTACTAAAGCGAGTAGTAATCCACCACAAAACTCGTCATCCAGCAGTATAATGCCAACGGCCTCGGCTACAAACAGTCAGGAAACGAAGACCCAATCTAAGAAGAAAGAAACCACGGACACGGAACAAAGCGGTTCCAGACGGGACTTTGTCAAGTCTATCGGAAAACGATTGAAGGCTAAAACGCAGAAGAAGGATCTCACGATAGGTCGACAGAAATCACGAACGGAGAATAGGGCACGCAAAGCTTTTCGTACGATATCCTTTATCTTGGGCGCGTTTGTTGCTTGCTGGACTCCTTATCACATATTAGCACTGGTAGAGGGATTCTGCGCAAATCCACCGTGCACGAACGAACATCTCTTCATGTTTTCATACTTTCTGTGCTATGCCAATAGTCCCATGAATCCGTTTTGCTATGCCTTGGCGAATCAGCAGTTTAAGAAAACTTTCACCAGAATACTGAGAGGTGATCTGCATATGACATAAGGCAAGGCGAATCGTTCGAGGATGTTCTCGTTTCGATAATATAACTAATAATTGTAGGCAACACGAACTCTTTTTGCACAGAAGATGGCCTTCCATACTTGATACCGAATTATATTCACATGTCTGTAAAACTGTGTTGAACTCCGGACAATAATAAAATGAGAATAATATTAAGACTCGCCGGGAAATCAGATTACCCGCCTTTTGTACATAATGTATCGTTAATACACACGAGCTGATCGAAAATCATACTCTTATGTATTGTATATATGCTGTACACATGTGTGAATATATTTGTTAATGTGTATAATGTGTAGTGTGCTGAGAATGTACGTAGATGTCATGTACAAGTAGTATTAAGCAAACATATATATTGTATTATGATAAGCACGATGCTAAATCGAATGCATTCCTAATACTTGCGATTCAAACGGAATAACGATCCATATGCTAAAATCGTAAGAGCTTGCGAAATTTAACGCTACGTAGGACGCACCTTACGTAATTAAAATAATATAATAATGAAGTTAATAATAAGTTCTAAATACAGTCGAACGAAAATATCGTTCATCACGAAAGACGAAAAGTGATGATATTAAATAAATAAGACATTACCCGACTATATATTGTAAAGCAATCCACCGTTTTGAATGGAGAACCAGTAATTGCGCAGTAATCGTTTTCACATTATGTTATATATATACGTATATGTATATATATATATATATATATATATATATATAATATTAATTTCCATATCAAATATTTCACGTATTATTTAGCATGTTGTATTTTTTTACGAATGAATCAGCTCGAGGTAGCTTGTCTCGTAGAAATACTGAGTAATTGAAGATTTTCTTATGGCTCTCGATCATAGATCGGAATATACACTGCCTTGAGATGGCCTAATACGCAGGCCTTTTCTCTTCGAATTTTGTGACATTTGGTATTCTTCATACAAACGAGCTTCCATCGATGTCTGATTAATGTTTTGTGGCATTATGTTTGTATCTGTTATGATGACGTAGTAGAAAAAATATCTTAATGGATATTTAAAATTGATTATTTAATTAACATGATTAATTGTTTTTTTTTGTTAATTATTTCTGTCGAAACAATTAACGTTCTTTATTATTTTATTATAAACCATTTGTATAATTAATTATTAATATTATATACATTCAATATTATTACATTCAAATTAAAAAATTATAAAATTTATTGTGCAGATGTGAATAATTAAATAGAAATTACTAGCAGACTGCGATTGTAGTTTGCAGCATGATTTTCAATTTAATATTGTTTATGTTTAAAAAAACAATTTTTAATTTTTTATTCCAAGCGCATATGTATTTTTATGATTATTGCAAATTGTTAAAAAAAATCGATAAGTAGCAATCGATTGTAGCAATTAATTCATATCAACATATATACCTTATCATATTTTAATAATATTCGCAAAAACAATACTTTTCTACATTATCTTTGAATATCAACGCGAATGAATCAAATACATATAAAATTTTAGAAAATCAAAATTATAACTTTTGTTAATTAGTAGAAATGAGATGTATAAAAAATGTATGATACATATTAAAATAGCTGCAATATAATGCTTATACAAATAGTATAAAAACCAAGTTGATAAATTTTACATACTGTATCAGATTTTTTTTACAAAATTAATTGAAAAAATAAGTGGCTAAAGTTAATTTGCATGTTTTTACATTTACATTAAACTAGAATCATATACTTTTATAAAAAAGTTTAATTATTAATAAATTATTAATTCGGCAAATAAATTATTAATTCCTACTTCATCATCTTTATTATTAATTTATTAGTTTAATAGCAAAGTGCAGTTAATGATCTATGTGCAATATTTATTACATTAAAATTACATGACTATCAATCAAACTCTAATGTCGAAAAACTTTTAAACGAATAAATAACATATTTTCTTCATCTAATTTTTCATCTACTTTTTCATTTTCATATCAATGTATATTTTGAAAAAGGACAATATATTATTATAAATTAGATATATCACCGACATATTTTAAAAATAGCTTTTAATTAATCGTTGTTTAAATAAAAGTCTGACAAAGTTAGACTTTTATTGTTAATCTTAATAATTTAAATTTAGAATTATAAACTCTCTTGTTATATATGCTATAAAATTAAGCAAATAGAAAAAGTATTTAATGAGGATATCACGTTGAATTTGAGCTCATGTTGATCCTCATGAGAGATGCACTGTTTTCCTGTATTTCTACATCTAATAGATTTAACATATCCAATAAACCAATATTATATTTTTAGTTGTTGATCGACTAGAAATAATCACAGATGGTTTTTTTACTATATTGTAAACTCTATTGTATATAGTTTTCTATCTTTATATAATTTGATATATATACGTATATGCAATATTATTTTGCTTGTAAATATCATTAATATTTCTGCTGCAACATCTTGTCGCTAAAAGCGCGTCATGTTCTTCCATAAAAAGTACGAAGTGTCCCAAAATAATGAGATTTTATATTTACATTATACGAATATGATCTGACACTTTGGAACTGCAGGGACATTTTGGCACTTTGGATATCTTCCGAAATTCACTGCCAATAGTAAGAGTTATTGTTTTCTCATTACGCTACACATATCTATTCGCTATAAATGTACATGATATGTATTGAAATCGATTTAACATAAAACCATGACAAATCTATAATCAAAATGTCTTATTCATCTGCAAATACATAATAGAACATCTCAATCTAATTTGATTATGCTCCCGACATATAAATTGTTTATTCGCGTAAGATACATTTTGCATAAATTAATTATATGTTTATATTATGCTTTTCTAGAATTAAAAAGTTTTTTATTACGCTTTTTGCTACACGCATCTTTAATTTTTGCAACAATAGCATACGTGCAAACAATAAGATAATAATTTCTCGTAAAAAAAACCCGTTGATTATAATTAATATGGAAAATTTCGTGGCATCTATTATATTTGCTATTTTAAAGCGCAATTGTTGGGCGCTACTATGATTAGTAATAAAAGATAGTATAAATAATTATTATGCATGCGTATGTGGATATGTGTGTGTGTGTGTGTGTGTGTGTGTGTGTGTGTAATTTGTCAATAAGAGATCAATTTATATCGAAATATTTCTCTGAAAGAGTCAGTTTTTTCGATATAATCAATGCGATGATGTAAATGATATTTCGCTGTTCAACGGCTTAAGTCCAAAGATCAGCTTAACTGGTTGAGAAGAAAGCGATGTGTCATAGATATATAAACATTTCTGTATGATATGTAGTCTACATTTAAATAAATGATGAACGTGTGGACACAAACGTACGGTGCGCTTATATTATGTACAGAGATAACAGACTTTGTAGAAAAATAAAAAACCAAGTTAAAAGTGAGCGCTATTGTGTGTAGCATGTATACATATATACATAACATAATGATGAATAGACAGTAAAGGCTGTAGCATTAAAAAGAGAAGGAAAACCGGTAGACGGTGCAATATCTAGCGAAGAAATATAATTAGCTCTAGGCATTAGCACGATTAAAAAAGAAGCGTAAATAATAAAAATAACCGTATAAAGCCTATGAAACTGCATAAAAAGCGTAATATTGTCTAGATATTGCAGAGAAAATATATATTTGTGCATTATATTTCACAGCCAAGCTTTTATTGTAGATTGTTCGTTGTAGATTCGTGAAACGGGTGATCATCAAAATTGTGTGCGACTAATCGGAAAATATATGATTAATGTATATTTTATGCTCGATTAATTTAAATTTAAATTTAATTCCATCGTAGAAAATTTAAATAGTAAATTCTTCATCTGTAAACAACTTATTTATACTGAGAATAAGTCTTATTTATTTTCATAGCTATTTCATTTGCCTAGATTATATCGAAATGTGCCTCAGATTTCTCTTGCGCGTTTTATAAAAATAATTTTATTAAAATTAAAAAAAACGTACGTGAATACCAAAATATTGATAGAGAATTAATACAATTAAATAATAGATTGAGTATTTGTGGAACATTTGTTTTTAGTATATCACAATTATAATATCTTGTAATATACATGATAATATAAGCACAAAATTAATTTGATATAATTATATAGTATTTTATTTCATAACTACTTTTTAATTAAAAAAACAGCGCAAGATCAAATTAAAAATATGCTTATTACAAATCATAGACAATACATCTTGCTTGCCTTGATTTTAAGAATCATTTAAATGCTAATATATATATACAGAGTGTCCCAGTTATCTTCCGTCATCTTTCAAAGACAGATTCCTGAGATCATTTGAAAATGATTTTTCTTCAGCGAAAATGTCAATGAAGGCCATCATTTTTTACATGTTCCCGATTTTTGTTATCATATATCTTTGCAATTAAGTCTTAAATTAAAACTCAACTAAAGTAAACTCTATTTAAAATTAATCAAAGAATGTGGTTTTGTTAATATTTTATTTCTACAAAGTTTACAAAAAACCCCTTATTTCCAATCACTTATAATTCGAAAATTATTAGTGCCTCGATATTTTCGTTGAGGAAAAATCGTCTTCAGATGATCCCAGGAATCTGTCTTTGAAAGATGACGGAAGATAACTGGGACACTCTGTATATATATATATATATATATATATATATATATATATTTATATATATATATATATATATTTTTTTTTTTTTTTAATTAATAATATTTTAATAATATTTAGTTCTCGTTTTTTATTATTCTTGTTATCCTTTTCATTTCTTATGCATAAATATGTATGTATAGGTTATAAACAATATAATGTATGTTGTGCTAATCACATAAAAATGCTTTATAATCTACTTTTAGAATAATGCGGTATATGTAGGTTTTTTCTGATTGTGAAATGTGATCGATATTTAGAGATTTAGCCGTCACGCATAATATCTATATTGCAAATTGACAATTTTAATTAAAGTATATGTAAAAACTGAGATCGAATGAAGTCGTGACATAGATGTTATCGAATAGTAATCGATTTTTATTTGTATTAGATTTATGTGCAAGCCATGCACAAAAATGCAAATAAATATAATGATGCTCTGAAGTATAAATGATAATTATTGAATCTGTAAGTAAAAATGATTACGTAATAAAATGAGACTATGCGATGTAATTCTGAACCTTTTTCCTCGCATCAATTTGTTTTTTTTGAAAAATAATTATATATTAATAAATAATGTAAACATAATCTAATAACATTTATCACTCAATTGATAATGACAATATAATAGTAGTTCAAAATGTGTATAAAACTGAGATATTAATAATATAATAATAAAGTTTATTTCATAAATAATTAATAAGTAATACTAAATATAATATCATTGCACATGTTATACCATGTGTAGTAACATATGTGCAGTAACATATTATCACTGTGTTCAAGTTTTATCTATAGTTTAATCTTAATTAAAAATTTGATAAAGATAATAATTGTTTATGTATGATAAAAATTTAAAACTTTAAGTGTAAACAAGAATGATAAAAGTGGTGACATCTGTCTGGAACTGAATCAACTTACTTAAATATATATTTGTCTGTTTTTAATAATTTAATATGTTTAAAAAAATGTTGGTT